CAAATTTACAATCATTAATGTTTACGACTTATAAGCTACAAAATTATAATTTTATTATTTTATGACGTCCAAAACTGTTACAAAGCAGTCTTCCACTAACAGTCTTGACAGATACTTGCAGTTTTAATAACTAACCACTCTCACAATTTCAGACGTCAAAAATAAAATTATAGAATTATAATTTTTCAGCAAATAAGTCATAAACATTAATGATCGTAAATTTGAACAATTGTTTTTCCAATTATGTAATTTAATTAATTTATTCAGATTATATGTACTGAGGATGATCATAATATTGACCGAAACATATACGATTCAAAAATAAAAAATTTTTACGAAATAAAATATCCACGTTTCGGGCTTTGGATTCTCCTTTTTTTTTAATTGTTTTAACATTAGAGACTTTTTTGAATACTTTTAATTGTTTTATTTCATATTCAGCAGATGTTGTTTTTAAAAAAGTTTTGGGTGATTTTGGCAACTCTGGTAGCATTTTTTTCCTAAGAATTTGCAGTAGAGAATCTAAATGTGTGTGCTTAATATTATATTTTATAGCCCATTCTCTAAGCGCTTCAATCTCATTAAAATCCTCAATATCTTCATCACTATACTGATTATCATTACTATACTGATCATCATCACTATGCTGATCATGTTCACTGCAGTTTATTTCAACATCATCTTCATCATTGTCATTATTGTCATTGTTAATGTCATCATCATTATTGTCGTTGCTAATGTCATCATCATTATTGTTATTGCTAATGTCATCATCATTATTGTCATTGCTAATGTCCATGTTTGGATAATAACTAATTAAAAAATAAAAAGTTGAAGAAAAAGTTAAAAAGTTAATAACTTTTAACTCAATTTAGTTAAATTTTAAATATTAATTTATAACTTTAATTAGTTATTTTTTAATTTTAACTTATAAACTTTTTTTCCAAAATTAATTTTTTTTTAAATTAACATATAATTGAAAAACCTTTTTTTATAAGGCCTTTTAATTATATGTTAATTTTAAATATAAAAATTGAAATTGAAGATTAAAGATTAAAATTTGACTAATCAGGACGAAGAACTTTTACATAGCACAGTCTAATAGTATATTTTCGATTATTAAAAATTACCTTTATAGCAATAAATATGATAATATAAAAGATTATCTACCAGTATTAAAACGAGCTTTTATAAGATATAACACATAAGTGCCATCTTTAACACACGTAGAATGAAAAAAGCTGAAAAAATGAAGATATATATATATTAACTTACCCAACGCTGCTGTCAACTTCATTTATATTTTCTTCGTTAGCACTTCTACTTATATAAGGCATCTGACAGTTCTCTTGATTTTTATCAGAGCTTTTATTTGTATCAAAATTTTCCATCGATAAACAGCGTTTTTTACTAACCGTAGATGTCGATGGTTTTGATATTGAATAATTTTTATCTAAAATCAATTTTTGTATAAATAATCCTTTAAATGATCTTTGCGGTTAACCTAAATTGTTCAAAATTATTTCTCAAATTTAACTATTATAATTTACATTCAGATCCAATAAAACGGGTTCGAAATATTCGAATATATGTTTCTAGATTTGAGAACAAGTTTACAGCTTCAGAACATTTATAAAAAAATAGTAACTTTATCTACAAATAATAATATAGTATATGTACGTACCTTGTTTCCGAATTGCACGAAATCTTTTAACACGCATTCGTGTTAATTTCCGATTTCTTTCTGTATGATCCATTCTGTATGATTATTACTTTATTTCAAACACAATATACACGATACGCACTACACAATATTGTAACGTAACTGTAAATTAAACTGTTTATTAAACTCTTGATGTCAACTAGCTTAACCATTGAGTAAAAAGAAACAGGAGGGAGCGTTTGGTCTTAAAAGTGCGGACGGAAGTGACTATATAAAGTGGTCGCTCAAGATGGCCGCTCAAGGGCGCCAATATTGAATGACTTGTTATGTTTAATTAGGAAATAATGTACAATTAAAAGAAAATAACTATAATATGCAACAATAATACCAAATTTTAATGGCGTTTTTCATTGAGATTGCACTCGTGCAGTATTTCCATAAGAGCAATGTTAAAATCTAAAATCTAAATTTATATTAAATTCTTCGTCCTTACAAAAATTTATCCATGCATTTCTTTGATCCGGATTTTTCGGAAACCTGTTTGTGAGTGAAAATTATTTAGTAATTATTGTGAATCTACAATTTCACAATACTATACATCTGATTATAATCTCCAAAATAAAAATCTCATTATTGTTGATAATACTAACCGATGAAACGTTATTCCATGATTTCGAGCTGCTGCTGTTATGACACAAGCTCTACAGTAT